ACCACTAAGTCGTCATCTTCGGTCGATGTGTCCTCCATAGAGTCAGGCACTTCTAGGAGTCCAGGATTTCGCTTCGGAGCGGGTCGGTCGGCCACAACGTTCACGTAACCGTACAAACCATTTTCCGAGTCTCCCGACGAGCAGCGTGACCCAATAGCTTCAGGGCGTCGGCTGAAAAGAGAAGAACAGTCAAAACTAACCCGTTTCGCGAGGGGTGTCTTCTCAGGGTCAGGTTCTTTCGGACGACATTTGCGGCAAGGGGACCTCCGCTCTGTGATCTTCACGCGCTGTTTGTCTCCTTCCTTCCGATAAAGCTCCATGATTCTCCGCACCAGCAGATTTTCCAGCTCGACTGCAGACGGATCAAGGAAACGCTTGAGACTGTCACGAGTCCTCCTGCTTCCATAAAGGAACGCTTCCCTCTTCCATCAGTCTCTCGGTCCTCAACTTTTCAGCATGGCAACCGGGGCACAGCGATCCTTTCTGAATTTCTTCAGTCTTCACGAAATAATAAACAGTCTGCCAGATTAGAGCACGCCACCGCTCAGGCACTATTCCGTCAGCGATAAGAGCATCGTGGTCCTCCGTGGAATCACTAGAGAGGTTACACATTTGTCGGCTGAAGCCTAAGGCGATATTGGCTTCGATCACGGTAAGGTCCACGACTTCCGGTTCCCTTGCAGGGGTTGATCCACTCGATTCAGGAGAGTGAGCGGTTTCCACCTTAATCTCCTTGAGGGGAAACACTTTGGAATCGGTTCCTCCACCCTCGTCTCGGCCATCCGAGGCGGTCGCCACTACTGAACCGACATGATCCGGAGGTTCTTCCTTGAAATTACGGTTGGCACGCTTGGCCGCGCCCGTCGAGGCCAGCGTCTTGCGATACCGCTCCAACCAGTATTCAGGGGTGGACAACCGTCCGGGCGAAGACTCACGAGTCCGCTCCAGTTTCTCCTCAGGAACGCCAAGAAGTGTACTGAGCTCGGCTAGAGACAGTTCCCTAGACCGCTCAGCGTTCTCATCTTGTCTACGTTTCAGCTCGACCTCGTCCAGGGAAACAGTCTATCTTCGAGCTCTTTGTCATATTCCTCCTTCTCGTCAGCTGCTCCAATGTCCTTTCCTTCTTGTAGGGCATCCAGTTCCTCCTTCGAGAACACTCGCGCGTACGAAGGCGTTATCTCGGGTTCTTCGGCAGGGGTTGCGATCTCTTTAGCGTCCCTCTCCGGGCTAGTGTTCTCATCCAGGCTAGTCTCCGAATCCGTTCTTTCTAGTTCAACGCCACCGGCTGGAATGCCTTCCTCAGCGACTATAGGCTCTTCCGGTTGGGTTGAACGAGCACCTCTCTCTCTTCTTGACTGTGTCCGCCCCGACCCAGGTGACTCCTCGGGTCGTTAATGATGTTAGCGAGCTTACTCACACTCGACTCCACATTCTCGTAGTTATCCTTCACTATTGGGACTCCTCGCTCCATAGCGTTCTCAGGTTGTAGTTTTATCTCTCTCAGGTAACACGGTTCCTCTGTTACTGTTCTCTCGTTGCGTCGGCCACTCATCTCGTTACTGTTCCTGTCTTCTTCTTCTGCACTCTCTTGTACTGCACTCTCTCGCTCCACACTCCACTCTTGGTTTGCTCCGAGGACCATCGCCACACCGTCTCGTACGGGCTCGAGGGCTCCTAAGGTCATAGGTATTCCTTTCTCCACTTTTCCAGTTACACACTCTCTTTCTTCAGGCGATTCACACTCATCCAACACGGTGGGTTTTACTCCACCCAGCATAGGACGCACTTCATACCTCACGGTCGACTCCTCCAAGGAGTTCAAAGTGTTCCTACTTGTGTCGTTCCATTGACAAGAGGAAGGAGCGACACTCCCTTCCCCTCCCTCTCGCCCACATCAATGCTGTCGGGGCGCTTGTCCTTGGACTGGTGTAGACGCTTGAGAAGCAGTCGCTCCAAGAGTCTTCAGAGACGCAATCAAAGGACAGTCCGAAAGCAAGTGACCAGGTTCGTCACACAAGAAGCACTTACGACCGTTCCTCGGCGGGTTGTTCCGATAACCGTTCGTAGGAGGATGTTCACACTCGACGCTGATATGACCCACTGCCTTACAGTGGGTGCAAGTCGCCTTACTTCGGCGACAGTTGAGCCGGTTACATCCAAGAACGTGACACCTACCACACACAATCTGACCGTCTTGAGTGTACAAGTCCGGGCCATGACGAACGCCACGGAACGGGGTAGTAGGAGTGGTCGCGGCCGGTTGAGCCTGAGGATTCGGAACACTCTGAGCAGGAGGAGAGTAAACAGCTGCCACATTCATGGCAGGAGCCGGGTAAGCAGCAGCCAGAGGACGTTCCAGCAACTGTTGCTGCTGTTGCTGTTGCTGCACTAGCAAATTCTGGGTCTGTTGCATCATGTTCATCATCCGTTCCAAAGCAGCGTTCTCGGTGCGAATCGTCGAAGTGTTCTCGAACGCCTCGTCGTTGTCGGAAGGGAGATGCATGTTCTTGAACAGTAATTGTGTTACAGCACCACGGATAGAGTCAATCATACTCCCGTCGAGAGCAGTTCTCCACTGCTTGTTTCGTAGTCCCGTTAGGAAGTACTGGTAGCGTATTTGCTCGTCGTAACACTGAGCGTCGTCACACAAGCCCGAGATCATGTCGCCCCACACTTCGGCGGACATTCCTCGCGGACGCTTAGTGTTCTGGAGCTTCTCGATCAGCTGCAACGGAGTCTGGCAGACAAACAGGTTTTGGAACCGGGTTCGGAGAGTGTCAAAAGAGTTGATACGAGAGTACGTCCACCAATCCTCACCAGTCTTGCCCTTTAGGCACTCGCGGAAAGCACTTAGACGAACGGATTCCTCCAGACCCACAGTAGCACGCTCAAAAGAGTCCCAGAACGTCTTCGCCTTCTCGACCGACGCTCCATCAGAGTAGAACGGCTGAATCATGCGGATAGCGTGTCGAATGTTAGTAGGCATCCCAAAAGGCACCACAGCAGTCGAAGGCGCGGGATGACTGTACCCAGAGGCGTAGTTACTGCCATAACTTCCGTTAGGGCCGCCCCATGGAGCTCCTCCAAGGTTCGCCGACGAGTAACCAGGCACAGCGGTCCCATATCCTCCAGACGGACCAACTCCAGCAGCAGAGGGTTGAACAGTCGGACCGAATCCACTTGTCGTCGGGGAAGTGTTTACCGGCCCCGGACCTTGGTTAGGCTGAACAGTCGCGAAAGAGACGGCAGGCGCCCCTTGCGCTGGAACTCCTGGAGACACTTGGGACGCTTGAGTTACCACCGGGGGAAACCCCACGCCTACTCCACTGCTAGGAGCCAGGGCGTTCCAGCGAGCAGCTCCGGGCCCACTCACCAACGAACTTGGGGCGACGGTCACAGGAGTGCTCCTTTGCGTCGCGGCCGACGTGAGGAAGGGATCAGTTCCTAGTCCCACTGTTGCCGGACTCTGGATAGTGTACCCTTGATAGGACGGTATCACCATCCGGACTCTCGCAGGGGAAGGGGTCACTTGCCCGCCGTTCGGGGTTACATTTCCCGTGTTTTCAGTGTTCCAAGGCTGCGAGGGCTGCCGCGAAGCACCAGTGAGGTTCGCCGCCACTTCAGGAGGCGCCATAGATTGGAGCCATCTATACGCGTTAAGCCAGCCTTCAGTCGAGTCGGTAGATCCGGGCGGGAACGCCACGAACGTGTCAGGGTTCGAGTCTTGAGGCGCCGCGGGAACGCTCGTCGAGGTGTCTCTCGGGACTGAGCTTTCCTCAGTCCTTCCAGTACCCGCATCCGGGCCACTCTGACCACGTACTCGGACACCGGCACGCTGTACCATAGAGTGCACGGCCCCAATACCTTCAGTAGTAGTCAAACTCGGTCGGGAGGGATCAGTTAGGATCTCTTGCGGTCCAGCGACCGCTCCTTCGTCTCCAGACTCGTCGTAGACGTCTTCGTAAGGGCCTTGCGCGGAAGACATCTCAGCCCCAATGTTTCTCCGTCGAAGTAGTAGTAGTACACGCTCTTCTGCGAGTCTTCACTCAAACGAGACTTTCTCCAGCAAGCAGACTGCCCTGCTTCTCCACCAAGTGTCGTACACTACCTCTAGGGTCGGGTAGTCCGCGGCTGTTCAGGGAGTACGGTCTCGAGAAGTGGCAGGAACGGTAGCACAAGGTAACTTAATATATCAAAAAGCTTCTTGTTTCTTTCTTTCACTCAGCTTAGGCAAGAGGTAGTAAATGTAAGACTGAGACTAATGAACGAGGGCCTACCGCCAACTCGCTTTCCTATACACGACACCGCTTCAGTTTATCTTGATCAAAAGAGTCCTTCTCCATGACATCCGTCCTCGTGCGGCGACAGGAAGGTCCGAGACGCGGTCCACCTTGCGCATACGGCCTTGTCCCCAGCCACGTAAGACGATAGGAGGGAACTCACACACCGTTCCTTTACTCCATCGTAGCGTTCCAATACAATCACACCATAACTTCACCGGTCTCATGTGCGAAGTGAGTGGGAGCTTGCGGGGTCAACGGGAACCAGCCGTCCGCCGTCGCAGCCCGTTGACTTTCGCCGAGATTCCTTGGCACATAAGCCTGCCCGCCAGCGCCTGGCACGACACCTACATTCCCGGGTACGGGACACTAGTTTTCGTTCTATCTGTGCATGAGCCAGTCTGGTGTCGACGTGGTCGTAATAGCAGCTTCAAACATGTCACTAATAATATACCATTTTGTCCTTTCGATAGGACAAACATGCTGAGCTTACTTGAGTTGAGTATGCCTTAAAAAGGTCGCAGATTGCTAGCTTCACTGAAAATAGTACATTATATGTTATAACGGACACAAAACAGAAATTGCTCAGTACAAACAAAAGAATATTTTTTTGTGTCTGACAGGACAAAATGAGTTGTGTTGGCCACATCAAAAATCATCGATACCGGCAACTTATCGCTGAAGAAGCCAATCATGGTAGGTCGCATTTTTTCTCAGTGAGCCATTACCCGAGCCAGAATGGCGACGCGGGGAGTGAACGGCGCAGCAAGCGGGACGCTGAACGAGCGCTTCATCAAGTGCGAGGGCTGCGGCGTGAACGTGCCCAAAGAGGACATGCTGGAACTGAGCAAGTGCACGGTGTGTGGACGGCCGTATGAGGTCGTGGTGACGGATAATGGCAGAGGGATCGAGGTGGAGACCGTTGCGTTTGACGGCATTGAAATGGTAGAGGAAAAACTCAAGCGGAAACGCTGGGCGGTGCTAACATCCAAGCGAGGACGAACTTATTACCACAATACGGAAACTGGTGAGGATCGATGGGATAAGCCAGCGGATCTGGACGCCGACGCCATCGAAGACGCCTTTGGTAGGACTGGCATTGCTGAGGAAAGATATTAGGATGCTACTGATCTGTTTGGAATACCATTTTGTTCCTTGTTACTCTAGTACCGTTCAAGAACGACGCGGTGAAGAAGGCAGTGCTACGTGAGCAGATGAAAATTGAGGCCACCAAGATGGGCATGCCCATTGAGATGGTGGCGGCCTCGCAGCAGCAATTGCAGCAGGAGGCTGCGGCTGACGACATTTTCGTCAAGCTCAGGAACAAGAACTCACTGGCTTTGACGAGTAGCGCCAAGCATGAGGTCACGGTGCCACCTCAAATTCAGGAGGTAGAGGAGGTGGACAAGGGACCAGCGCAGCAGCAGGCACAGAATGGCGGCTCGTGCATCGTCATGTGAATCACACTGTGATTGGCATGCTTAGTGAGCAGCGTGACATGTGGACAGATCGTCCACAGACGATAAAGTACCGTACATAGTGAATCTTATTTTTACCCAATCAACGTTTAATTCAGCCAATCGTTAGATTGCGATGAGAGGTGGCGTCACTCTACCATCTTTGGAGCACGCCGAGACGCTATACATTTTCGCTCGATTTCTCAGTCTGCGACGCAGCCAGCGTTGTCACCTTCTTTTGCGCTTACTTATCATCGCTTAGGTGGGATTTCGGGCCGTTTTTGAGCTCTGTAGCCGTCCTAATGAGCAGCAATGGATCTCTGCAGCCGCCACTAATTTTCACATCACTCCCGCGACCTCCAGTTACTACGGCGGCTATCGGGGCGGTCTCGTCCTCGAATCTGTCTCCAGCTCCGTCTTCATCGACTGCGTCCTTCTCGCCGTACGCCAAAAGCCCCCTTCCAAGCGGTAGACGTGTCGCCATGGAGGGTAAAAGCCTCTTTACATGCCACCTGTGCGGTGCGCTGCTTAAATTCCAGTACAGCCCTGTGTCTATTGAAGAAAAGATAATGAAGTTACGTTCTGTTGCCTATGAGCACCCGGCGGAGCCGTGCGAGCAGAGAGACAGCAAAGCGGACGAAGACGATGACGAAGACCAAATGCCCCGACTCACCGAGGGATCTGACAAGGGGGAAACTACAGACGCAGACGAAGAAGAAGCAACACAGGCAGCCAGGAACTCACTAAACCAGCAACAGCAGCAGAAAAATTCAGCTGTCGTCCCCGAGGTTGTATGGGAACGGCAGCGGCTAGACAACCGCGAAGACGTAGTGGTCTGGGTCCCTTCGATATTCGATCTTATGGATGGGATTGCGCCGTTCACGAGCTGCAATCGAGGAGATATTGGACAGAATATTGCAGATGTTGTGCCTACGCGACTGCTGAATAAGCCTCACTTGTGGATTTCCGACTGGGGAATAGATTATTCCCTTCCGAACTGTGACGAGGACGGATGGGTATACGCCGCGTCATACGCTGATTTCGGTAGAATGGAGGAACCCTCGTGGGATGGAGAAGAAAGATCGGAGCTAAAGGTTGAAGAGGGCGTTAAAGATGAAGCTTCCGAGCAAACAGACGAGAGTTTGCTGGATCGACGAGTGCGACAAAGGCGTCTGATCCGCAAACGCCGTATGGACAGCAGCGACCTCAGTTGGTTTCAGGAATTGCTCGACTGCAGGCACGTGGATCTGTTTACCTGCGTAGAGGGCACTCCTTTTCACATGCTAACACGTTTTTTCACTTTGATTGTGCACAGTACGCTCCTTCTTAAAAAGAGACTGCCAACTTGTCATGATTGCGAGGCCACAGTACTCGACCGATTTACTCTGTGCGTGGGAACAAGAACTCAACTTATTTAATACCTTACTTGCGAGACTCTAAACCGGGCGTCTATGCTTACTAGGGTGCTTAATGAGCTGGAGGATGATCGAGACCAGTACGAGCGTTTTTTTACCGAGTTTGCCGACGAAGAGCGGGCTTCAGCTCGAGCTTTTAGTGAAGATGGCGACTACGATGCCGACGAGTGGCAGTATGACCCCGAGCTTCGAGCTTTAGAGGAGGAAGAGCGACGACTAAAGGCCGAATTGGAGGCTATCGAAGATGAGACTGTACAAGTGACCGCAAAGAGACGCGAACTTTGGTCTACTGGAATGGACCTCGAGCAGTTGATCCACGGCACTTTCGCTGAAGGGGCGTTCCTGCAGCATTTGTTGGGGTTGAGTCGAGACGAGCGTCAGTCTGTCAGTGTATTCGCCGTGCATGCATCAGATATGCTGCGACGTCTTCAGCGCTACAATGTATGCAATGACGTCTTCCACATCTGGCACGATGGTCTCTTCGGTACGATCAACGGACTGCGACTCGGCCGGTTGCCTTCGAAGCCAGTGGAGTGGGTGGAAATCAACGCCGCATTGGGCCAAGTAGTGCTCTTACTTGCAACCATTGCAGATCGTGCGAACTTTGAATTTTCTCGCAACCGTCTGGTGCCGCGAGGCAGCTTCTCTCGAGTGGTTAACATGTATGGCAAGGAGTACAGTCTGTACAGCGATGGCGGCATGTTCCGTCGCCGTGGCTTTAATCAAGCCATGATCCTTTTTCTCGAGTGCGTGGAGGACGCAGGTCGTCGCGCTATGAAAGAAGAACCGTCTCTTAAGTTCCCGTACAAAGTGGAGCGCGGTAAGATCGGAGGCCTGCCGATTTCACTTGGTAATGACGAGCAGTGGACTCGAGCGCTCAAGTACATGCTCACGCACCTCAAGTGGCTTCTGGCTTGGATTTCCAAGCGCTACTGAGAGTGTGCTAAGTAGATGAATGGAATGAATGAACAAAGTCGGCAGCCTGTATCGCCAGGAATCGTGTACTCGCGTCATGACAACGCAAAAAGTGAGTCAGTTAATACATGCAAACATTGTTTTTTTTTTTTTTTAAATCTGGTCGACGAGCATGATGTCACTTATGTGCGACGTTATAGTTCCATGACTGTGTTGGTTAGCTAAGCCAACAGTTGCTGAATGGCCTTGTGAATCGCGTTTGCAGCATGCAGCAGCTCTTCCTGCCCAGTGGAGCGGCCCACTGACAAGCGCAGCGTGCCTTTAGCAAACGCGGGAGCCACGCGCATGGCCGCCAGCACGTGTGAAACAGTCATATAATCCTCCTGACCCTCAGGATTTAACTCCTGTCCCTTGCCAGACTTTTGCTTGTGGCTGTGGCATGCTGATCCTGCACTAGCGTAGATGCCGTCGACCTCGATCACTGCAAAATCAAGAGAGTCAGGGCATGGTCATCCTTTTTTATACGGCATAGAAGGCAACTTACAGTCCAAAAGAAGTGGCGCGCTGATGTTCTCAAAGCTGATGCTGAGTGTGTTGGGCATATAGAGTTCCGGGTGGCCATTCACCTGGTAACTGACGTTAGTGAGACTGCAGTGCTTCTGGATTTGCTCGAGAAGGAACGCTCTACTCTCCTGCATCCTGACTGCGTATTCGTGAAGGTTTTTTTCCACCAATGCACAAGCCTGACCAAGTGCCACTACAAATGCAACATTCTCCGTCCCACCACGGCGTCCGTTCTCCTGTGAGGCGCCGTGGATGATCGTGTCCACCACTGTTCCTTCATGAATGTAGATTGCGCCGATACCCTTGGGTGCGTATAGTTTGTGACCTGCCACAGTGAGCAGGTCCACCCCAAGGTCCTGTACATTCACGCGCACTTTACCAATTGCCTGACTAGCATCTGTATGCACAGCAATTGACAGGCGGTCCTCCTCCTCCTCCACGAATCGTCGCACCGCTCGACAGATCTCTGCAACAGGTTGTAAAGAGCCCACCTCGTTGTTCGCAAGCATGATTGACACTACACAAGTCTGTGGCGTGAGAGCGTCTAGCGCGTCCTGCACACACACACAGCCGAAGCGATCTACAGGCAAGTACGTGACCTGGAAGCCCTGCGTCTCCAACCACTTGCAAGTCTCCAACACAGCCACATGCTCCACACTGGACGTGACGATGTGGTTGCGTCCGCTCTCACGCTTAGCGACCAGCGCTACTCCCTTGATAGCGTAATTGATGGATTCTGTGCCGCCTGAGAGGAACACGATCTCACTCGGATCGGCAGCGCCCAGCATTGACGCCACTTGGGTGCGCGCATTGGCCACTGCTTTCTTGGCTGTCTGGCCCAGCGCGTAGGACGAGGACGCGTTGCCAAACTGAATGCCGAGGTAAGGCATTAGAGCCTGTACTACGGAAGGATCCACCGGCGTCGTGGCGTTATAGTCGAGATACACTCGCGTCATGTTGGTTTTCACTCTGGAATTGAGTGGACTTTTTCCCTGAAAAGGATAAATGAATAATATTCATTGAATATAGTCGACCATACTTGAAGTTACTATTCACAATATTAGGCAATGAAGTGTATGCTTTTGATAGTTTTAAACGAATAAAAGAAGAGTAACCGTAGATATTTGCCCAATCAGAAAGGTGATGTGTAAATAAGGGGCGGTCCAGTTATTGATATCCTTTCACAACTGTAAGTCATTAGCAAATTTCTCAAATAACGTGAAAGCTCCGACATCTCCGACTCAGTATGAGCCTCAACAATCTTGCCCCCGCCAACACAAAGCGCGCTAGGGAAAGCGCAGCACGCTTGTTTCTAGCGTTTCTAAAAGACGAAGATGTGACGTGGGAATACTTGGAGGCGTCTATGAGCCGCGACACGGCCGCTGGTTCTAGAAGGTGTAGTGGACAGATTTGGCATGTACCTCGCCTTCAAGAAAGGTCGCAAGGAACAGCTTCTAGCTCGTCACTCATTGATGCAGTACTGCCGACAGGCAAAGAGCTGGTTGCTCGACCAGTTTCCCCAGCATCGCGTCGCAGTTGAAAAGGATCTGCTCAAGAAACGCCAAGTGTTGGAGCGCTACTGCATGAAACGCGAGACAGGAAAGTTTGTTAACAAGAACCCAGTATGCACGAAGAAAGCTCTTATGCAGATGAGCTGTAACGGGGTACGTAGCCCTAAGTGTACCCTGATTACATGAAGTGTGACACTTCACACTTCAGGAGTATGACACGTCATACTTCGGGATATTTGGTACAAAGTACCAAGGTCGTTCAAAGCCAACCATTGGTCAACGACATTGCATTTCTACAGGTGACTTATAGTTTGTATTAAACCTAAACTTTATCTACCTATAAATATACTCAGTTTACATTCTACCTTAATTTGGTCACTTCGCTCTCTTTTAACTAAAGAGGGGGCCTGTGAACTGCCATTCACTGAGAGTTTGTATCCTCTCGGAAGATAACTTCCTCTAGCGCAAGGTGCTGTGTGACCCCGTCACACTTGGTAGCACTCGTAGTCAATCCACGCCACCGCGGGTAGACTACCTGAACCTCTCCTAAGCTCGTTGCCATGGATAGGAACGACTTCTCTTATATGAACGACTCTCAGTTCGAATCGGTTCGGATGATGGCAGGCATCTTCGGGATGGGGGCCCTGCAGAGCCTGGTGGTGTCAACACCGGCTGAGCAGCTCAAGCGCGTCAATGCGTTCGACGCGTACGAGCAGGGCCTCATCGCGCATGTGCGGGAGAACCTGCAGGCTCCGGCGGCGGAAGCAAATCCGCCTCACCCGAAGCCAATACGGCTGAAGGTTAAGCCGTATGAAGGGAAGGAAGGCGATAACCTTCACTTCTGGGTCCGAGAAGTAGAGCTCGCGATGGACGCGGCTCTGATCTCGACCGAGCAACTCCGTGTTGCTTTTGCACTCTCCAACCTTAGCGGCCGTGCTAAGAGTTGGGTGTACACACGGGAAGCAACATCCCCTGGATGTTTCACATCCTGGGCTCAGCTGTGTGAACAGCTCCGAGCCGCGTACCTCCCGGCGAACTACGAGTACCGCCAGCGTTCGCGCTTCCTCTCGTGTAAACAAGGGAGGCGCGAGCTGCACGAGTACGTGCAAGAGATATGGGAGCTCACGGCATCCCTAATGGGAAACCCACTCAACGAACACATCAAGATGACTGTGTTCATGGACGGCCTTCGAGTGGGCCCCGCACGCACTCAGCTGTTCCGGGTGCAGTCAAGCACTCTTGAAGAGGCGATTCAAGTGGCTCTTCAAGAAGAGTACAGCTATCGCCAGGCGCGTACGCCGGCCTCAGCGTGGCCAGGGAGTTCCTTGTCGGCTCCCGGTCGAACAAGCCCCAACGGACCAGTTCCCATGGAGCTCGGGTCCGCCGAACAGCGTGACATCCGCTGCTTCGGCTGTGGGAAGATGGGCCACTTCAAGCGCGACTGTTCCGCGGAAAGACTCCGCAGACGGTCCTTCCCCAAACCCGTCCTCAAGGGTCGCTGGCAGAAGCCAGGATCCCGGGGACAGGGGAACGCCGGGAACCAGTAGGAGCGGGGCGCCCTACTGGGGAAGAACTAAGTCTTCGTGATGGGTGCGCGGGTGGCGCGTACCACGGGGACTTAGCCCCTGAGAGTCTTTGCACTCTCGAATCGGCGAAGAGCAGCGGCGGGTTGCTCGTAGTACACGGATGTGTACGGGGATACGATCATCCCTTTAGAATCTTGATCGATTCTGGGGCATCGAAGAATTTCGCACGCCGCCAGACGGTTGCTCGCAGCAGCAACAAGCTGTCCGATGCTTTGAGAGAAAGCAAGGGCAACGGGACGGTGTCAGTGCGACTGGCCGACGGGAAGGTCGTCACTGTCCCCAACGTCCAAGTGGATTTGGCCGTCAAGTTTGAAGACTTTGACAGCCTCGAACAGTTCACTGTTCTCGATATGGATCCATATGATATGATCCTGGGCATGCACTGGCTTGAGAAGCACGAGCCCTGGATCGACTGGCGAGGCAAGGCAATCGGTGCCAGCCGCCCTGCGCAGTCCGACAGAGCATTGGTGAGTCATGTTCCCACCTCTGTCAGGACCCGGGGCGCCCGCAAGGGCTGCCATAGTACCAAAGCATCCGGCAGATGCTTGGGAGTCGACGACGTATATGACGACTCCGAGGATGTTGTGATGGTGGTAGCTCCCAGAAGAGACGCTGGCCAAGTGGGTAACTTAGGTCCACAGGCGGGTAAAATAGTTCCGCAGACAGCTGCAGCTGTCACGAACACTGAGAACAGCGTGTTAAGAGTGGGTAACAGAGCTCCACTCGCGATCGCCCAGACCTTAACTGAAGAGGAAGACGTCGGATATGCTTCCTGTGCGGGTAACACAGTGCCACACGCGGTCGCCCAGACCTTAACTGAGGGGGAAGGCGTCGAACACGCTTCCTGTGTGGGTACCACAGTACCACACGAGGCCACGAGTGCCTCGGATGTCGTAGCGCCGACATCCCTAGACGTGGGAAGCAAAGCTCCACGTCACGGTCGCCGTCGTCAACGACGCCGCCGCCGCCTCAAGTCGGATCCGAACTTCGTTCAGATCGACGTCGCTTCAAGCGACTCGGAGTCCAGGGCCCGGGCTCCTCCGACAAGGCCGGTGGAAGAGTGTTATCACATCTTCGATGGCGAGACCGGTTTACCCGTCAAGACATCTGGTGTCCACTTGGAACCGTTGCCAGAGGTTGCAGAGATACTGAACCTCGAGGAAATGACGGCTGAGGCTTTCCTGGCCAACCTTAAGGCTGGAGAGATTGCTGAGATGGTGCTCATGAGACCTGAGATCACTCGGGAGGAGCTGAACTCCTCCTCGGTCTTGGACGAGACCGTCCCGGAAGACCTAAACAAGCAGCGTCCGACGCGCTTGGGTTCTGAGATCCTTAAGAACCCCAAGGATCCGGTGTATCCTTTGGTGGCGGAGTATGCGGACGTGGTGAACAAACACCCACCGACCCAACTCCCACCGGATCGAGGCGTACGGCACGAGATTGATCTCGTTCCCGGCACAAAGTATTGTGTCACGAGACAATGGCCTCTCCCGCGCGAACAGTGCGAGGTCATTGATGCCTTCTTCGCCGCGAAAGCGAAGGCAGGCATGGTGCGGGAGTCGAAATCCCCGCACTCGACGCCGACTTTCTGCGTTCAGAAGTCGAACGGAAAGTGGCGTCTGGTTCACGCTTATAACAAGCTGAACAACGCAACGGTGCCGGCCCAAACACCAATCCCACGAAAGGATGTGTTGTTGATCAACATGGCCGGGAGCGTACTGTACAGTGCGCTGGATTTGGTAGACGGATACTACCAAATCCTGATGCGAGAGAGCGACATCCCGCTCACCGCGGTAAGCACTCCAAGCGGCATGCTTTGGGAGTAGCTCGTCATGCCGCAGGGCTTGTCTAACGCCCCGGCGACGTTCAATCGCCTGATGACGCAATTGTTCCGCCCTTTGCGTACCTTCGTACAGACGACATATTCGTCCATAGCCGTGCCGAAGGAGGCAAGACGGCCATGGAGGTGCACCTAGGACACCTCCGTCGAGTGTTGGACGTAATGCGAGCGAACAAGCTCTACGCCAATATCGACAAGTGCGTTTTCGCGTCACCAGAGATTATAGGTTCTCGGTTGCCTCGTAAGCAACGTGGGCGTTCGGGCTGACCCAGACAAGGTCAAGGCCATAGCAGCATGGCCGACGCCCCGATCCCAGAAGGATCTTCGAAAGTGGTTGGGCTTGGCCAACTACCTTCACAAGTACAGCGCAGGGTACGCGGGCTTCGCTAAGCCCTTGTCGAGTCTTCTTCAGAAGGACGTCGACTGGCGCTGGGAGCAGGAGCACCAGGATGCTTTTGACAGCATCAAGGCCAGTCTCCAAGAGGCCCCTGTCCTGGCCCTGCCGGACGAGACGAAGCCGTTTAGCGTCGTCTGCGATGCCTCCGATTACGCCATCGGATGTGCATTGCTGCAGGCCGACACGGCTGGACACGAACGAGTCATCTCGTTCCAGTCCAGGCAACGCAAATCCGCCGAGCGGAACTACCCTGTCCACGACAAAGAGCTCCTGGCAATGAAAGATGCCCTTGTGAAGTTTCGTGTTCACCTTCTGGGCTCTAGGCCCTTTGTGATCTACACAGACCATGCGTCCTTGAGGACGGCGACTAACTCGCCTCACCTCTCCCAAAGGATGGCGAGGTGGCTGTCCTTCTTCGCGGAATACAACTTCCGCGTCGAATACAAGCCGGGCAAGCTCAACGTGCTTGCGGACGCCCTCTCTCGGCGTCCTGACTATGAGTTGGCCCACATCACGCGGGTGACAGCGGATCTATATGATCGGATACGCATGGCGTATCGGGACGATGAGGCTGTCGCGCCTATCGTCAAGCTCCTTATGGCCGGAACGAGCGCGAAGTCCG